TTCCCCCCCATCTATCCCGTCGTCCGCGGTCATCCTCGCATCTCAGTTCGGGAGCCAATCTAGGCGTCCCCCTCGAGTCGGGCGGGGGGGGGGGGGGTTGAATATAAAGGGACAGACGGCAAAAAACCCACAGGCTGGCTGTTGGGTCCAAAGGTGAGACGCCAGTGAAAGGGAGCGTCCCTGTTGAACTAGGGGTTGCCCGGGTTTTGATCACGCGCTGGCGAGGCTACGCCGTAGAAGAAGCTGGGGAGAACCCCGAAGTAAAAGCAGTGCCGCTTCTGGGCGTCCGACCGGCGTGGGGCAATATGCTGTTGGAATTTGGAGTTGAATTCTGGTTGGGGTTCTTGGGGTAGTAGAACCAACAGACTGCCGGATATAGTGCGAAGAATGAGATGGTCGTACAGAGGGGACAGGTCTGTAAAAGTATCCTTCTTGATCTATAGTGACAATTAACCTATAGCCAGGAAAAGATCGGCCTTTGTCAAATCCTCCATCAATGCTGATGTCAATTTAGAGGGCCCTGAGGTTTGGAAACGCAAGCCCCTGCCGTTGAAACAAAGCCCAACACCGAGCTTGCAATTGCGGGGGCGGGGCACTGTGGAGAAAGGCTCCCACGGAACGGTGCCGGCGATGACGGAGGCTGAAAGCTGCCTGTGGCTTGAACAGCCGGGACCCCTGTTGCGCGGGTCTGGGCGCCGTGCGTTGCCGCCTGTACAGTTGCCAGTAGGTTCTACCGTTTGCCGAAAACTGTATCTAGCAGCTCTCGCCTCCTGCTGGCAGCTTCAATCGCATTATTCAGACAATCACCAACTGACTCCCGCTGCCGTGTTGCTTGGCCGTGTCCCCGTCCGTACCTCGGAGCTTTTTCATTAAAAAGTAGTGAAATCCCCTTCCGACGTCTAGGATTTGCTCCCGGTCTTTTTTTTTTTTTACTTCTTCACTTTTGTGTACATTATTTCCCTCCCTCAAGCTCGAACTCGACTACTAATCAATCCCTCGCTGCTCTCCATCTCCACGCAGTTTGAGAGCTCGAGCTTGATTACAAACCTACCCGCAAAATCCTGACGTCAAACCGCCCTACACCACCCCCCCCCCCCTCCGCCAAACCGCAACGAGATATCTGTTTTTTTCTCCCCCTCCTCGCACTGCCCACAATGCTGCCGCGACAGCGCGTCCTGCGCATGCCCTCGCCGAGGCATTCGGTTCTCCTCTCTACAGCTTCCAGACGAACAAGCATCTGCTCGGTAAGAGCTTCGTTACGACAGGGCCAACACATCACGCCGCGGCTGCAGGGCTTCTCGAGGGACAGCTTTTCGTCGTCGCTTTCGCCATTCTCCACGCATGCCGCTTTAGGGAAACAGCAAAAGGGTTCGGGCTTCTTTGACGGCATCGAGCCGTTAACGGAGGAGGAAAAAAAGGCGAATCAGGAGAACCAGGAAAAGGAAGCGGCGGCTGAGGAGAAGGAGGAGAAGGATGTTGAAAAGGCAAAGCCTTCTTCTAGCTCCGAGGCGAAGACGAAAGAGGGCGGCGGCCAGGGAATACCCGAGTCGCCGGAGAACAAGGGGAGTGCTGCCGCCGGGAGTGCCGCCTCGGGGTCATCGGGGGAGGGGTCAGGAGGGGATGGGGGGAAGAGGGGACGGAAGCCGGGTGACAAGGCGCTTGCGAAGCCTGTCGTGCCTGAGGTTTACCCTCAGGTGATGGCTATCCCGATTGCGAAGAGGCCGTTGTTCCCCGGGTTTTACAAGGCGATCACTATCAAGGATCCCAATGTTGCCGCCGCCATCACCGAGATGATCAAGCGTGGTCAACCATATGTCGGTGCGTTCCTGTTCAAGGACGAGAATGCGGATGACGATGTTATCCGAAGTGCCGACGAGGTCCACGACGTCGGCGTGTTTGCTCAGATTACCAGCGCTTTTCCTATGACGGGCCAAGGTGGTGAGGGAACAAGTCTCACTGCGATTCTTTACCCTCACCGTAGAATCAAGCTTTCTGAGTTGATTCCTCCGGGAGCTGCGGATGCCGCTGGAAAGACCCCGGCGGCTACGGAACCCACACCAGAACCGATACCCAAGGCTACAGATGAGTCTGCCCAGAAGGGCGATGTTGTCGCGAGCTTTGAGGAGAGCGCCGTTGTACCGCCACCAAAATCAGACGTTACGCAGAAGCAATATGAGCCAACATCCTTCCTCAAGAAGTATCCCGTCAGTCTGGTTAACGTTGAGAACCTTACCGAAGAGCCTTACGACCCCAAGAGCCAGGTGATCCGGGCCGTTACTAACGAGATCGTCAATGTCTTCAAGGAGGTCGCTAGCATGAACTCTTTGTTTAGAGATCAGATTTCAACCTTCTCCATGAGCCAGTCTACCGGCAATGTCATGTCTGAGCCGGCCAAGCTTGCCGACTTTGCCGCAGCGGTGTCGGCTGGTGATCCCAATGAGCTTCAGGAGGTTCTGTCGAGCTTGAACGTCGAGGACAGGATGCACAAGGCTCTTCTTGTGCTCAAAAAGGAGCACGTCAACGCTCAGCTTCAGTCCAAGATCACCAAGGATGTGGAGAACAAGATCACCAAACGTCAGCGGGAGTACTGGTTGACGGAGCAGATGAAAGGCATCAAGCGTGAGCTTGGGCTGGAATCAGACGGCAAGGACAAGCTGGTGGAGAAGTTCAAGGAGAAGGCCGACAAGCTGGCCATGCCGGAAGCTGTGCGCAAGGTGTTTGATGATGAGCTGAACAAGCTTGCGCACCTGGAGCCGGCGGCGTCAGAGTTCAACGTCACTCGCAACTACCTCGACTGGCTTACGCAGATCCCATGGGGTCTGCGCAGCGCCGAGAACTTTGGCATCCAGCACGCCATGACTGTTTTGGACGAGGATCACTACGGTCTCAAGGACGTCAAGGACCGCATTCTCGAGTTTATCGCCGTCGGGAAGCTGCGCGGGACTGTCGAGGGCAAGATCCTCTGCTTTGTTGGTCCGCCAGGTGTGGGCAAGACCAGTATTGGCAAATCGATTGCTCGCGCGCTCAACCGGCAATACTACCGCTTCAGCGTAGGTGGTCTTGCCGATGTTGCTGAAATCAAGGGTCACAGGAGGACGTACGTCGGTGCGTTGCCCGGCCGCGTCATTCAGGCGTTGAAGAAGTGCAAGACGGAGAACCCCCTGATTCTCATTGACGAAATCGACAAGATTGGTCGTGGATACCAGGGCGACCCATCGTCTGCTCTTCTTGAGTTGCTTGATCCCGAGCAGAACAGCTCTTTCCTCGATCACTACCTCGATGTCCCGGTGGATTTGTCTAGGGTCTTGTTTGTCTGCACCGCCAACATGACGGATACGATTCCCAGGCCGCTGCTGGACCGCATGGAGGTGATCAGACTGAGCGGGTATGTGTCTGATGAGAAGATGGCGATTGCAGAGAGGTATCTTGCTCCTCAGGCGCAGGAGCTGGCTGGGTTGAAGGGGGTGGATGTGGAGCTTACCAAAGATGCTATCGAGGAGCTGATCAAGTCTTACTGCCGGGAGGCGGGTGTCCGCAACCTCAAGAAGCAGATTGAGAAGGTTTATCGCAAGAGCGCGCTGAAGATTGTGCAGGAGCTTGGGGAGGAGGTGCTGCCTGAGGAAGAGGCGCTGACGGACGAGGGCAAGGTTGCGAAGGAGGAGTCGGCGAAGGAGGAGACTGAGCAATCGGAGGAGCCGGCCACTGCCAACACGGAGGCGACGGAGAAGGAGACTACCGAGGTGCCGAGGGTGGCCCTCAAGGTCCCCGAGAGCGTCCACGTCACCATCGACAAGGACAACCTCAAGGACTACGTCGGCCCCCCTGTTTTTACGTCTGACCGTCTTTATGATATCACCCCCCCGGGAGTAACCATGGGTTTGGCGTGGACGCAACTCGGCGGCGCGGCCATGTACGTCGAGGCGATTCTCCAGTCGGCCCTCAAGCCGGCCTCGCGGCCGTCGCTTGAGATTACGGGCAACCTCAAGACTGTGATGAAGGAGAGCTCTGCCATTGCGTACAGCTTTGCCAAGTCGTACATGGCGAACAATTTTCCCAAGAATGACTTTTTGGACCACGCCAAGATTCATGTGCATGTGCCTGAGGGGGCGGTGCAGAAGGATGGGCCGTCGGCGGGGATCACGATGGCGACGAGCCTGTTGAGTCTGGCGCTGGACAGGCAGGTTGATCCGGCGGTGGCGATGACGGGGGAGTTGACGCTGACGGGGAAGGTGCTGAGGATTGGGGGGTTGAGGGAGAAGACTGTGGCGGCGAGGAGGGCGGGGTGCAAGATGGTTTTGTTTCCGAGGGATAATGAGAGTGATTGGTTGGAGTTGCCTGAGGTGAGTTTGAAACCTTTTTTTTTTTTAAGATAAAAAAAAATTGCCTGGATGAAAAGCTAATGTGGTTTTACAGAATATCAAGGAGGGAATCGAAGGCAGGCCGGTGAGTTGGTATTCGGAGGTTTTTGACCTTATTTTCCCTGATCTGGACAAGGAGAAGGCGAATAAGAGTAGGGTGGTGGTGGCTGAGAACAAGGAGAAGAAGGAGGAGGAGAAGAAGGATGGGGAGGAGAGTGATTAGGTAGATGTTGGGAGATTTTGTAAATATTAAATGTGTATAAAACAGGGAAAGAAGAAGACGATAAAGAGGAGGAAAGAAGATGATTTGGTCATTAGATGGGTAGGCAAGGAATGGAATTGGTATGGATGGATGGGTGGACGGATGGGTATGGAATTGGGGGGAGTGGGGGGTAAACAGCGGTTTTTGCATGGAATGAAGTTTTAAAACAAAGAGGTAAAATGAGAAAAATCTTCACTCTAGGTTGGTTGGTGGTGTCTTTGAGATGGGGGTTTGTGAGTGTTGTTCTAGATGTTTGGTAGCTAACTACTGACACTGGGAGGAATGTGTATCTACGTTTTGTGATGTTTGGGGGTGTGATGAGAGAGAGGATCTAGGGTAATTAAGAGTCAACCGCGATCCTGCCTTTGGGGATATGCAGTGTAGTTTAAAAGAGGACTATGGTGATGCCTATATCTTGAGCGAGAGACAGTCGTATGGACAATTTTAATAGATTGAAGAGTTGAGTTCGTGTATGTGCGTAAACTGTTGTTCAAGTACTCGCTTTAAAAGTAATGCAGCAGGCCCGTATCTAACCGACCGACAAACAAGATATTGATGCGATCTGGACTGCAACTGGGGTATCACCCGCCTGTCCTCTTCCCAACCTCACATTACCGCCTTGATTTTCTGCGATGAGTCTGATCTATCACAACCGGCTCCTTAATCAGAGGATTTGGTTCTTTTTTTTCTTAATTTTTTTTTTAGCAATTGACCACGGCCCGACTAACACCCGCTGCCCAACAGGGACTTTACGGATCCCCTTTCGTGAAAAATGAGTGGGTGTGTGCCGTGATGAGGCGTATGTTTTTTATTCAGATTGGCCCATTCTGTTGCTTGTACGCCACGAGAGAAAAAAACTCGGCTTCGGAGAAAGCCGCAAGGTTCCTATGAGCTCATTTTTCAGAGAGCTGGATGCAACGCAGTTCTTGGTTGTTGTTGTTGTTGTTGTTCTTCGTCTAGGTGGGCTGGAAAGAGACGGCATCATTGAGTGACCCTGCCCACAAAATAATTGATACAGCAGAAGCAAATTAACCCATACTATACTATACTGTAAACTTATGCCTCAAAAGCAAATTGATAGGTCCCTAAACGATCTTTCAAGACCTGTTAACCATCTTTGAAGGCTTTTAAACTTATTTAAAAGGCCTATGGACTATCCTTTTGAGGTATGTTAACCTGCATTGGTATCTCAATTATTTTGTGGCAAGGGTGCCTAGGCAGGTAATCGACACTTTTCGGGCAAGAAAAGTGCAAAGTTATTACTACCTAGGTAGGTATATTATGTAGTCTCGCAACCAGGAGAGTATCCCTCGCTAAGCACATAGGTAAACAATGTTGTGAATAGGAGAAGAAGAAAAAGCTGACGTATGTGCAGCAACATGCTGTCGGCATGTACGGGGGAAAAACAGAAGCAAAGAGACTGTCTAGCCGCATACAGCCTTACCTTACCGCACCGGTTGTAGGTTGGCAGAAGTTGGTTTTGTGATGGCAGATGCAGTTTGGGCATCAATCGACCCCCCCCAAAAGGCGGGGGAGCGGATGGGGGGGATAGGGTAGAAGAATACAGGCACACAGGAAGCTTCGGATGCTGCATGGAAGAGATGCAGGGCTGGGAAATCCGGGTACAGGTAGTGTGAGCTGCTTCCGAAGCGGGACGAGCTACCTAGCTTGAGAGAACCTTGAGGGGGTGAGGAGGGTACATCACTGGGGGTGTTTAGGGTGCGTGGGGTTGAGGGAAGTGTGGGCTGAGTTGAGTGTTCAAGTCAAACCTCGAAGCTAAAGGCATTGTGTTATGTTCATGTCTTTCAAAACAGAAACTTGAGTGAATAACCGCTTACACCAGGGCGGTCAGACGTCCTCCAGTTCGGGCATAGACCAGCGGTTCGGCATTATCATCATGGTGGTGTTGTGAGTTGGGCTGCTACGGGGGACTTGTGGCTCGCATGGTGGTGTTGTCGATTGGTTGAAGCAAAGACGATGACGAAGTGTCAGTGAAGGCTGTGCAGCGAGAGAGATTCAGGCCAAGGGGAGAAATATGAATGATGGGATTATTGGGCCGTGGCTGGACGGGAAACCTGCAGTTCTGACGATGAGCTACATTACCTAGGGCACGTGGCCGGCGGTGTCTGTGGTTATCCGTAATAAAGAGATATATGGGATGAAATCATAGTCCTGGATGACGAGGCGGATTTGGAGCGAGCAATGTACACCGCCGTGTCTTTGCTTACCTTGCTGCTGAAGATCTGAGTACCGATCCGAATCTTCCTTGCAGACGGCTACGGTTGGCGGTCCAATTCGGGGAAGAGAATAGCAGGTTTTGTTAGTGAGTTTTAAAGTGATAGTGATGGGAAAAGAGGTCGAGTCTTGCTTTGACCAGCTGACCTCTGTCGACACCTTCCTACCGATGAAGATGTTTTAGATCAGGTCACGATAACCTCAAGTTTCAAGATCCACTGGGGTTACAATAAACATCACTGTGGGGTCTCGGTTCAACCCCTCAGTGGATCTTGGGCGCAACGCTCCCGCGTCAACCCCCCCGGTCACCCCATTATTTACATCTCATCTGAGGATCAACTTTCAAGTTTTGAGACAAACGTCGGAAGAAGACATGGGGATCCATCATCACGGGCTTTCGTTCAACCGGCCGATGATGAAAAAGGGCTACCACAGTTCTCAACCCAGCAGCTGTAGGGCTTTAGGTACGGAATACGTGCAGAGAGCCCGGCGGCACGGCAAAGTACAGACGGTACTTGAATATACTGGTACATGCATTGTACATATTTCGAAGCCCACAGCGCTCGTTACACGTGTTGCACCCCTCCCCCCTTCTTCCCCCTCCCCACCAAGAAACCCAGCCTCCGTCGTCCCACCATCACCGATCGAGTCGAGTTCGAGTTGTCTCTCTTGCAGCATGCAGGAGGAGGGAGAGAGTTAGCGAACCAACCCCCATGCCCCCTCATTCTCACCGTTACTTTTAGTCCACCACGAGGTACAATCTCTCTCGGGAGATCCGTGAGGAGTACCTAGCCTCAATCCTGCCCTGCCCACCTTCCACTCATCTGAGAGAGCCCTTCCATTTGGGTTTGCTTGTGTGCTGTGCCAGCCTGATAAGCAAAAGGCCTTGCTTCCTGTCCATTATGGCAATTTAGCACCTGTTGCTTGTTCTGTCAGCTTTTTTTTTCTTTCTTCTGTGCATTCCATCTTGTGTTCACCATCCAACCTTCCAAGCGCTATTACACTCTCACCAAACCATTATTTGCGCTTTCTATCAACCTCTTGCGAATCACACGACCAAGTTTCACCCCACGGCGTTATTCAGCTGGTGAACAAATCTCGAGTAAAATTACCCGCCCAACAACAGCGACTGTGGAATCCGCCGCTTGTATACAATCCTGGAAATCGCCATGATCTTCTGATACCCAATACCCCTCTTCCTCGCTCCGCATGGCTTATCCGTGCGCTGTTGCTTGATGTAGTTCAACTGGCTGGCTTACTTTGTTACCCCACGATCCACAAACACTTTGTTTCGGCTTCGATACCAGTCGGTTGGAAGAGAGGATAGGGTCAGTGTTGGGAGCCGAAACTGAAAAACAGATATACATATCTATATATATATATATGTCGGTGGTTTGTCAGGGTGGCCTGGAAAATAACAAAAACGCCAACTACTCTACACCTTACCTATCCAACTAGCTAGCAGCAGCAAAAACTTGCGTTTTGTTCACATACCTCTCGACACCTCTTTTTTCCCCATGGACGTCCCAAATATCGAAACACGCAGTAGCGGTGCCGACAACAACAACCCAGCCTCCGGTGACGACGACCAACAACCACACAACAACAACAACAACAACAACAGCAACAACAACAACAGCAACAACAACAACAGCAACAACCAAACCAGTCGTCTCTGGCGTCGGCTCAACCTCTTTGGTCATCATCGCGACAACAACGCGGGGGGGAATGGATCGATACAGGGTGGTGGTGGGTTGGAGGATGATATCACACAAAATGGCAGCGGAAAAAGACAAAGTCGAAAGGTAGTCCCCGGTCTGCCTCGGGCGCCAACTTTCAAGAGGCAGCAGTCCGAGAAACGGCATCGGCTCGAGCCGATCCGACCGACGGCCGCGGAGAGGAGGGCAGTGTCAATGGACAGGAGGGTTGTTGTGCAAGGCAGCAGCAACGGTGGTGGCGATCCAAGGACTAGCGCGCCGGATGTTCTCCTTCTTGCGCACGAGGGGGGGTATTCGTCGCAGTCGCAGTCGGTGCCGCCGCCCTCGTTCCCCATTGACACTGATGGGGAAGGCTATTTCGGGGGGCGATATACTGCAGCCACGCAAGGATTCGACGACCACTCCAACGACGCCGACGACGACGGCGAGGCGATGTCTGACGACGGCGGCAGGCACTCGGTCACGACGTCGCAGTGGGAGGCCAGGATCCACGACGAGCTGGAGCAGATCTGGATATTGAACCTGTCGATGCACTTCCGGGACAAGTCCAAGAGGGAAAAGTTTTTTGTGACGTACCGGCAGCAGGAGCACCTCTGGAGGAGGGTGACGGTTAGTTTGGATTATCGGAACGCGCCCGAGGGGAGCTTGGAGATGGAGCTGGCGGGGACGAGGTTTCAGAGGGAGAAGAGCGCAAAGATCTACGAGGCTATTCGGGAGAGTTTGATGGATATTCAGTTTTATGACACGGTAAAAAACCTGAAGCTGCAGACTACGGATGGGAGGTTGCATGTGCATGTTGTGGAGGATGTTAATGTGAGTCTTCTTTTTTCCCCGGGGGGGGGCGGGAGGGGTGGTGGTGGTTGCTGACATTTTATTTTTCTACCGCGCAGGAGATCATCAGCTATCCATCAGTTCGTCTGATCCAGCACACGAGATGTAGACGTGTAAAGGAGAGGGAGATGGAGTTTGACTCGCACATGTCGGGGTTTGTGTACAAGATGAGGGTGAATGGGCAGATACTGATCAAGAAGGAGATTCCGGGACCGGATACGGTGGATGAGTTTCTTTACGAGATCAACGCCCTCAACTCGTTGCGCTCGGCGAGGAACGTCATTCAGTTTTATGGGGTTGTTGTTGACGATCGGGAGGAGCACGTCACGGGCATTCTGATCAGCTACGCTGAGCAGGGCGCGCTGATTGACATCTTGTATGACTCACGCCCATGAGCACCCGCCTCTTCCTTGGTCGATTCGCGAGAAATGGGCGAGGCAGATCGTGGCTGGGCTGTCGGAGATTCACGAGGCCGGGTTTGTCCAGGGGGATTTCACACTTTCAAACATTGTTATTGATCACAACAGCGACGCGAAGATTATCGATATCAACAGGCGGGGTTGCCCGGTGGGTTGGGAACCGCCAGAAGCAACGCCGATGATTGAGTGTAATCAGCGGATCTCGATGTACATCGGGATCAAGTCTGATCTCTACCAACTCGGCATGGTGCTCTGGTCGTTGGCGACGCAAGACGATGAGCCAGAAGCACAAGGGAGACCGCTGCAGATCGCGGACGATGTGGATGTGCCGGCGTGGTTCGCGAGGATAGTGTACATCTGTCTGAGCGACAACCCGAGGAATAGGCTGCAGGCCCTGCAGCTGCTGTCCCTATTCCCGGAGCCGGAGGAGCCGTTGACTGCCGTTCCGCATCATCATCACATTCACGAGGACAGTTACCTGCCGCAGGAGTACATGTCGGATATATTCTCGATCACGAGCCAGCCGCCGAACGTGATGAATGTGAACATGGGGAATGATTGGCAGTATATCGGGCCGAACAGCCCTACCAACCCTTATGGCGGGGGGACTTTTGCGGAGGATCCGCATTTCTACCCGCCGCCGAGGGGGAGGTCGCCGCCCTCGCCGCAGCCGAGCAACCACGAGGACGAGGGCTGTGAACCGACGGGGAGGTTTGGGGCGAGGAGGTTTAATACTTGGAGTGTGGGGGAGGGATGGAAGCCGATGGTGCCGAGTGTCAGCGATTTGCCCCCTAGGAGTGTGCTTGGGGAGGAGTCGGACGTGGGGGGTTTCAGGAGGGGAAGGCAGAGGGTTAGCCCAAGGCATGGGAAGATTGCGGTTAGTGATTATGGGGGGATTGATGGAATGGTGGCGAGTCAGACGTTGGAGATACCTAAGCAAGGGGTAGGGGTAGGGGTAGGGGAGAAGGAGCTCAAGACGCCCGAGTCGAGGGCGGATAGTGGGAAGGATATGACCGAGTTGGGGAGTACACCCAGAGATGGAGGTGTGCTGGGGTTGGGGGGCGGGAAGGAGGGGGTAGAGGTTTTGAGGGAGACGGAAAAGTTGTTTCCGAGTACTAACAAAGACTTGGAGCAACCGCTGGCTTTGGAACAACAGGAGGAATATACCGCGGTGATGGGGACTAGTCTGGGGAGGTTGGGCAGGCCGGACGATTTGAATAACGTTGGAGGGGCCTTTTCGTTCGACCAAAGGAGTAGGGGAATGCAGAGGAAGGGAAGTACGAGCAGTGGGAGTGGCGGGATCGAGGGGGAGATTGAAGAGGAGGATGAAATGGGGGATGAGGAAGAGGATGAGTTGGATATGGAGTTGGATGGGGAATTACCTGGGGATTTAGAGAAGACGATTGGGTTGCAGACGCAGCTGCTGTCTGTTCCCTAACGAACGAGGTGGTAAGGTTTAGATGGGGATGGTGACAATGGTGAATGACTAACGAGCGATCGACTCGTTAAAAAGGAGAGATATCTCTGGACAACCACAGTTGTCTTTGTCCTTTTTAATACTCTTCTTTTGTTATCAGGGCTGATGACATGGGTCAATGGGGCGCAAGCAAGTTAGCAAGCGAGCGAGTCTGTGCTTATATTTTCGTCTCGTTGACTGTTGCGTGATGGGATTGGATACTGGGAGGGAGGCTAGGCTGGGAGGATATTGGGCGGTCATCTGCTGTTGATGAGATTATGATATTTATGCGTTTACTTTCAGGCATGTTGTTGCGTTATCTATGATGATATATATGATCTAATGATGCTGATTCATTTGTTTGGATGATCCTGAAACTATATGACTGATACAGCAACTGTGACTTGAGTGTCCAAGGTGCTTGCTAAACTGAGGTGAGGCACACGAGTCTGTCAACGATGAATTGGCGGTTCTGGTGGGATACGGCCAACTGGACCAGAGTCTGAATGTATCATCCCCTGTCACGTCTTTTCGTTGATATCATGATGTGAGGTCAAGCGATTAATTAACAGTAGCCTTGCTTTTGCTGGCGAGTCTGTGGTGTCATCCCAAGTGAGCCGGCGTTCAAGGCTAGTTGACACGCTTGGCGTCATTTGACGATGATGACAGCCAGGAGAGAGTTGAGACGTCAAAATGTGGCGAGGATGCTCTGTGACCGGAGTTGTGGCTCTAGTATACACTATGTGTGGCGAGAGCAAGGAGCATGGGCGCCGAAGCTGGATCTTCCCCAGCATTGCGGATGTGGCGTTGGGATCTCCGGCTTGCCCATGACGCTTGTCCGGGGGTTCTTGCCTTGCGGCTAACGCCTAGGTAGAGACGAACCGAGAATTGAGGAGTCTGGAGAGTTTGTGTAGCGCTGGCTGTAGGATAGCACCGGTGCTGGCAATGAGGCGACTGGAAATCTGAAAAGTTGCTGCTTGATAGACTCTGGTATGCCTGTATCCTTGAGGTTCGACATGTAAATGTTAGGGATTGTCCATCACAGTGTGTGCCGCATGCGGTGACGTCGAGATGGCACTAACAGATGGCCTTTGTTGAAGATGGCGTCTTGGCAAATCCCAAGTGTTGAAGTCGAGGCAAGGCGAAACTCCACTTCAGCCTCGAATCACGACGGATCCTTCCGCCCGAACACAAACGACGGCAAGTGGTGCAAAAGAGGGGCACATCTCGGTTTGTGACTTTCATTTGGAAGCTTGTCATTGGGGGACTCCCCTGCGCAGGTACCAGACAGACAACGCATGGCTGTTCGAGATGACAGGCATCACAGAAACGGCCACCCTGCGTCGTGCTTCCTGTGAGAGATTCCTTAGAACAAGATGGGATGAACTGGTGACGGGACTGACAAGCAACACTGACAACCGTTGGTGCTTGTGCTGATTTCGTTGTGCTGGTGATTGCTCGAGATTTTGACATGTGATTGAAGATAGATAGAGCTCTCCCTCCACCCTCAGAATATGGGGAAACCTTGCGTCAGAGCTTTTTGGCTTTCTTTCTGGCGGGAGCCCGGCATGGAACTGTCGCGGTGTTTGCCACGGCCGGGTTTGGTGACAGTGACGGAGCAAAGCCGTCGCCGTGAAGTTTTCGATGGCAGGGCGCCGTTTCTGGAAAGGCGGAGCTCGGACGACGTCGTGGACATGCAGACTTTCATGGGCAGCCAATCAGAGCTGGCCTTGACTTACAAGTCCCCCACCCAAACATGAACGCCTCCCCCAACAGTTTCCTCAACAAAATTCGGGAACGGCAAAAAATCACTTTGCTCAAGACTGGGGATATGCTTCACCACCAAAAAATGGTGCCATGGTGCTTCCATGGTGCCATCCACATGCTATCCTCGGCAGAGTTGATGCAGCTGTGACCTGCTCGAGAAGGTCTAAACCTCGGCCAGTGTTGATCGTGTCAGGAGCTCGTTCGAGAGATATCGGCTATCATCCCAGAGATATTCCCAACCATTTCAACTTTGTTGTTATGAGTGAGAGCAGATTTGGCCACTCATCCATAACCCCACTGATTGACAGCACCAGCTTCAGCATCGAGAATCTGCAGAGGCGAAAGCAGGTGCAAAAGGCTGGACTCACTCCTGCTTGTTGCTGGTGGTCCAATCGCTGTTGAGCAAATCCGTTGACGCTGAATGCACAACACAGAACTGGACGGAAAGTGACCTGGGTGGCCTGCCAATTTGCGTGCAAAATTAAGTACCCCCCAGGAACCCGGCACCGGCATGTCACCACAATCCTGACGGGCCTCCCTCAACCCACCCGCCGCCGCCCCCCGCCTAAACCCACAGCTTAGACCCTTGCTTTCTCAAACCATCCTTTCGTATAAAACTTTCAAGCCGGCCCTTTCTGCTTTGACTTTTGCTCTCCTCTTGCGTGAGACCCCTCCATAACCGCCCTTCCGCGAACCTCTATTTTCCCCTCAACACAACATCGACGACGAGAGAGGACCAAGGCCGACGTCCTCATCGACCCGCGATATTGTCAACCTCCGCGACCTCCGCCCTCAACATGGCGTCGTCGTCATCTGAGGTTCCCGCTTCGGCGGTCCTCCAGGCCGAGTCCTTCCCCGACGGAACCAAGGACTATGTCGCCATCCGCAAGAAGAACTGGGACATCAAGAAGCCCCGTGAGTTGCCCTTCTCGAGATAGCCGGTTGATCCGGCCTTGCTAACAAACGCTCCCAACAGATATCACCGACCAGCCCATCACCGCCAAGAACTGGTACAAGCACGTCAACTGGCTCAACACCACATTCATCATCTTCATTCCCCTCACGGGCCTCATCTCCTCGTACTGGGTACCGCTTCAGATGAAGACGGCCGTCTTCACTGTGCTCTACTACTTTTTCGCTGGCCTCGGTATCACCGCCGGCTACCATCGCCTGTGGGCTCACACCTCCTACAAGGCCACCCTTCCCCTCAAGATCTTCCTTGCCGCTGGTGGCGCCGCCGCTGTCGAGGGCAGCGCTCGGTGGTGGTCCAGTCTCCATCGTTCGCACCACCGTTACACCGATACCGAGAAGGATCCTTACTCCGTCCGCAAAGGTCTGCTCTACAGCCACATCGGCTGGATGGTCATGAAGCAGAACCCCCGCCGTATCGGCCGTACCGACATCACCGATCTCAACGATGACGCCGTTGTCGTTTGGCAGCACCGCAACTACATCAAGTCGGTCATCACCATGGCTCTGATTGTTCCCACCCTCGTTTGCGGTCTCGGCTGGAACGACTGGACCGGTGGCTTCGTCTATGCCGGTATCCTCCGCATCTTTTTCATTCAGCAGGCCACCTTCTGCGTCAACTCCCTCGCCCACTGGCTCGGCGACCAGCCCTTTGATGACCGCAACTCACCGAGAGATCATGTCATCACTGCCCTCGTCACCCTTGGTGAGGGTTACCACAACTTCCACCACGAGTTCCCAAGTGATTTCCGCAACGCTATTGAGTGGTGGCAGTACGACCCCACCAAGTGGTTCATCTCGATCATGAAGTTCCTCGGCCTCGCATACAACCTCAAGACATTCCCCCAGAACGAGATTGAGAAGGGCAGACTCCAGCAGCTTCAGAAGAAGCTCGACCAGAAGCGTTCCACTCTTGACTGGGGTATTCCTCTCGAGAACCTACCCGTTGTCAGCTGGGACGACTTTGTCGCCGAGTCCAAGAACGGCAAGGCCTGGATTGCCGTCGCTGGCATCATTCACGATGTTGGCAAGTTCATTGCTGACCACCCCGGTGGCAAGACCCTCATCAACTCTGCCATTGGCAAGGACGCCACTGCTGTCTTCAACGGTGGTGTCTACAACCACTCCAACGGCGCCCACAACCTTCTCTCCACCATGAGAGTTGGCGTTCTTCGTGGCGGCTGCGAGGTAGAGATCTGGAAGCGCGCCCAGTCCGAGAACAAGGACGTCCAGACCGTCACCGACTCCTCTGGCCAAAGAATTGTCCGCGCTGGCAACCAGGCCACCAAGATCCCTCAGCCCGTTTCTACTGCCGATGCTGCGTAAGTGTTTTACTTGACACAAGGCATGAATTGTACAATATTCAACCCCCGCCACGATTAGACGGCGTTTCAGAAGGGGTAGTCTGCGACCTGGGAGTTTTTGGTATCACGCCACCCCAGAGTAGTCGGCAACTGACATGACTTTCTACCACTTGGGTGTCAGTTGGCTAGTCGGACATTATGACGTGGAAGAAGAAGGAACACACCTTGGCTGTCGACGCTGGTTTTCATGGCTTGATAGCGAGGTTGTTTCTGTGGTGGTCCCATACATTTTTCCTTGGTTTTGTTACAAAAAGGGGCGTTTTTCGAGAGAATAAATCGGGCACAGCATTGGAACTGGTGTTTATCTTTGTTTTAGCTGTTTTTTTCTGGGAATCAAAAGATCCATCATTATCAACCTATCACTCTGGTTTTTGCTGTTGAAAAAGATGTGAAAGAACAGCATGCGTGGTTTTGCGTTGACGTTGTGTGACTGCGTGTTGGTTGGAGAGTAATGACTGGTGTAGATGTGAATGTAAACAAAGATTGAGAAGATGGAGGGTTAGGATAGGGGGGAATGAATTGTGGTGACCTGTGAAAAAGTGAGGTTACATTGGGCTGGAGGTGTGGGGTCCAAGATTGTACTGGCTCCATCAGCGAGGCTACAGCTTTGGATTCTCCCTGCCTTCTGAATGGGATTTGACTAAGAAATATCAGATATGAGGGGGTCGGCTGCGAAATTGAGGCATGTTAAAGGGATGTTGGTGGGGTATGGAAAAGAGGCAAGGAAAAGGGGGTAAAAAGGGCAAAAAGATGATGGATCAGAGTAATCTCTCCCGCCGGGAATTGAACCCGGGTCTCGAGCGTTGTTGAATGACAAGCTCACATACTGACCACTATACTACGGAAGATTTACAAGTGTTGGCACTTGTCGTAGATTGGATGGGAGGATTTCCGAGAGGAGGGTATATCAATGACATTGGGGAGGATGCTGCACACCCTCTTCGGCATGGTCAATCCCCCTTTCACCAGCACTGGGGGATAGAACAGCTGAAGCTGAACCTGGCATCTGTGGGTTTTTTCGAGCATGTAAGGTATGCTCGCCCGGGGGTGTGATGCTAGGCTATCGCAGTGTGAAGGAACAGTGTGTACGTGTTGCCGTCTCGAGGGAGAGTTTAAACTCCATCGCCTGCCAGACACTTTACAGCAATATAGAAATGTAGGTTGCAATGCGGGTATTTACGATACATATCTTGGCGTTGAGCGCATTGGTCCAAGGCTATCGTTAGGGTCGATGATGGCTAGCTCTCGAGCTGGAGTGAGCATATATCGTCTCATAGTTCTGATAACACAAAGTCATCCACCACTTATTAACAATTGCCGAGCGCAGCAACCCCTCGAGTCGGTAGCTACACCGCGACTTTGCATGTTTGATGTCTGTCTGTTTTGGGGACACGATGTAGTTCTCTGGTTGAATTACACATCTGCTTTCGCCTGTGTGTTAGTTGGCAGAAGAGTCTGTGGGTGATGATGGAAGACTTGACATTGCAACCATGTCTACACTTCAATGTGTTAAGAAAGAGAGAATCTACTGCATCTAAACTTATGACGGACCATTCACCCCTCATGGTACCGCAGTCAAGCATCGTGGACCAAGTCGCAAACAATGTGGGCGCCCGCCTTGATCACTCCGCCGCTCTCTCTGCTTCTCTCTCCTTGACCCATGTAAGAAATTCATCATAAAGCAGGTACACAAAGCTATCAAACCGACCCAAAACAAACTCTTACCGTTACTTACCTTACTAGCTGGACAGCCTCTTCCCTGACTCTCTGACGACCCAACCCCCCTCGCTCATTCCTAGCAGTCAACCGTTCCTTCCTAGCAATCAACCGCTCCTTCCTCCCACCTCTTGTCCCTCCCTGCTTCCTTCCTCTCTCACCCAAATATATACCACCTTCCCTCACGCCCTTCCAACAAATAAACTCCCACATAGTGTAGTGGTTAGCATGTCAGGTTTTCACCTCCTCTCTCCTTACGCTTCTTAGCAGAGAGCCGCACAGTTAATACCCTGGAGACCCGGGTTCAAACCCCGGTGTGGGAATCTTCTTTTGCTTTTATTTTTTCCTGCTGTGTCAATTTTTTGCCGGGCATGTAGGCACTTGCCTATCTTTCTTTTCGCATGGGTATCGACACTGCCAACGCATCTCCATTGCGGCCCCTTTTTGTGGCCATCTTGAGACGAGCTTGAAGAGGGCACCACCACCAGAAAAACAAATCATCAACAACAACAACCTCCTCTCATTCATTCATTTGTGGAATCGACCAAATTAGTTTGTCCTTTTAAACCTCCCATCCACCCCTCCCTCATCACACTCTGGCAATTTCGAAAAAGAGACATACTTCAATGCCAGCAAGACAATTATAAGACCCCCAGCCCTCACAATCATACACCCCCACACCTCCCCTTTCCATCTCAACACGGTCACACATACACACACATACACACCTCACCCCCCACCCTCCACAAGGTTTTCAACTCTTTGTGTATTGCTTGCTTGTACGTTTCAGAAAAAAAAGACCCAGAACTAATCACATATCAATCCTCCTCATCAATGCCCCCCTCCCCACTGGCAGAAAAATATCCTACCCATCTACCTCACCCCATCTTCTTCCCCCAGCTTACTGATCACCGCCCTCAATCTGAATACCCTCCCTCAAACCCTCAACAACCAACTCCTCGCCCGCCAAACGGCGGTAAATATCCCTGACGTCATCCGTGGTCGTCTCAAAGTGGCTAGAAGCGTCATAGCTCTTGGAGATGAAGATGTTGTCCTTGGTGCCGTCCTCGAGGGGCTCATAGAGGGGAATGGGGGGACCCTGTTACATCAGTCAGTGTTTTCGTCCTAACAAAACAGCGGCAAGAGACAAAACAAACCATAAACTGCTCCTCAATCTTGCCCAACCTCTCAATCCCCGGCGCCAGCTCCAAATGGTGATTGGCCGACGTCTCGGCAATGGTCGACACAATCGCGATCCAGTACCCCTTGGGGCAGACATTGTGCGCCGACGACACAACCGCAATGTAAATATCATTCTTGCGGCCGACCTGGCTCTGGGGAATAATCAGCTGAGCCGAGTCCGCGTCGCTCGTGTTCGCCAACGGGTGCTTCAGGATGCAGATGGCCCTCAGTACGTGTCCCACAACCTTGACCTTGTTGGGGAAGTAGCTCGGGTCGCCAATGATGATCTTGGCCTTGGTCTCAAACTTCATCTCGGGCTCGATGTTGGTCATGGTGGCCTTGATGCCGACCGCCTTGTCGCCCTCGTAGACCACCTCGTCGACGTTGGTGTTGAGCATGTAGGTGCCGCCGTAGATGGCCGACAGGCGGGCGAAACCCTGGGGGAGCTCGCCGAGGCCATAGAGGGGGTAGATGTAGGGAGACTTTCCGTAGCGGGCGACCGAGTTGCCATACAGACGAATGCGCTCGATGGCCTCGGGGGCGACGCCGGGCTTGTCGAGGTACGAGTCGGTCTGGTAGAGAGCCATGGCGTGGCCGATGAAGTCTTTGGTCGTGGCCTCGAGGCCGAACTTGTCAAACACCTCCTTCATGGTGCAGGTGGTCATGTTGAGGCCTGGGGGGAGTTATCACTGCTTGTCAGCCAAAATGTCTTGCACCACCCGATGTTTGTTCCCCCTTGTGACCATAACTAACCCTTGTGTGTCGCAGAGTCCTTGAGGTCGAACTGGCCAACCCACTCAATGAAGCTCTTCATGCGGCGCTTCTCGAAGATGCCCATCAGGGGCGACTTGAGAGCCTCGCCGGCATCCGAGGGGACCTTGGCAACAGTCGCCTTGCTTCCCGCACCCTGCTGGACGTAGCTGCCGGCGACCTGCTTGAACTCAAGGTATCTGGTGACGTCGGTCGAGACAAGGATGTTTGTAAGCTCGCCCGAGGACATGAGGAACTTGGGGACGAGGTCGATGTTCCAGTCGTTCAGGCGGCCGTACTCCTTCCAGGGCTCGGTGCCCTTGGTGTAGTTGCCATACTTCTTGTAGAGCTATTGTTGTCGAGGAACATGTTAGCGACCTCAACAGCCTACAATAACAGCAGCAGACGGATTAGGTGATAGAAAAGAAAAGAATGCATACCGTCTCAAGATTAACCGAAGCAGCCTCACTATTCAAAAAAGGGGGCGCGCGTTCGTAAGCTCAACGGTTCTTTTTCTCGAATACAGAAACAAACCCAAGGGGCAACAACAACAAACTCACCCGCCGTAGTGGTCGTTGCGGTCAATGTGCAACACCTTCTTCCCCTTGACACTGAGCACACCAGACAGGATGCACTCGGTCAAGCCGGTGCCCAGCACAATGACATCGTACTCTGGGGCGATCTCTTCAGCCATGCTTGCGTTTTTTCTGTCTGCTTCTCTAAAAATCGGTTTTCGTTTCTTGTTGGATGGAGAGATAGATGGATAAGTTAAAGTTTAATGGAGAATGGGCGGCCTTTCAGGTAGGTAGCTTGGGCGTGTGTGTTTGGTCTGGCAGGTGGGCAAGCTAAAGCAGCTCGAAGGGGGGGGGGGTTTGAGCGGGCAGGTGGGTCGAACTTATATTCCCTATTAAAGATAGATGACGGACGGACCGTGACAGCTCCCAAAGAACAAAAGGGTTTCCCACAAGATTGCAAGTCAAGAAGAACAGGAAACAAAACAAGGGCCGAGATCACGGTGGAAATTTGATGGGCTGGCAAGAGCTTATTAGCAGCTGGCCAGATGGTTTCTCGATGTTGGGCTTAATATTAGGTTGTCATTCATCAGGGGGAGGGGGAGGTTGCTTGCTGTCGCTCGCCTCTTGGTGGGGAGGAGGGGCGGCGAGTGGCAGCCCCGCATTCTGGGGTCTCCTTTGAGCTAATCAAGCACCATGGCGTCTTTTGATTCGACGCTGAAAGGACAGGCGGTCTAGGTCCCTCGTCTCGGCTCATGGCTCATTTAGCACCTGGAAGCCATCAAACTTGCCGACCCAGACGACTTCACATCACAATAATATCTTTTTGTCTAGAGGTTCAAATACACTATCTGTACAAGAAGAAACCCGATGATGACGTCCATCCATCTGTATACATCGGTTCAACGGCCTTTTAACTCGTGGTTGCGGTGGTGTCTTTTGTGTTGCTGTTGATACACAGGGTATAACCTCTCCCTTATAACTTCGCCGCCTCGCCCTGAACATTCGTCTCTGGTGGTGGTACCACAGCCTTCTCCTCAGCCTTGACCTCAGCAGCCTCCTCCTCAACAAGGTAATCCACAACCTTGGCCTCAGCAGCCTCCTCCTCAAGGAACTCCCTCGGCGTGAAAGCTCTCCCCTTCCCACTCAAATCAATCTCAGGATCACTCTCCGCCAACTTAACCGCATCCTCCCAAGCATAAAACCTCTCCGTCAACACATGCTTAATACCGCGCATCGTAACCCGAACCTATTCTCTCATTAGCACACACATTCCCCCCCTCCCTTTCCCACCAACAAGATAAACTCACCTCCCTATCCCTCCCCTGCGCCTCGCTCTTCCCAAACCCCATCTTCCCCCTCTCCCTCTCCCACGCCCCCGTCGCAATCCTGTTCCGCTCCTTCACGCAAACCCACCACAACCTATGCAGATCCTCCCAACTCTTCCCCCTCAGCTCCTCCACCATCCACCCCCGCCCATGCTTCATGTCATCCTCTGGCGAAGCCGCCACCGTCTCCCGGTTGGGGAAAAAGTCCCACAGCCCGTGATCAGGGTCGACCTCGACAGGAGGCAGCTCCTCGCGGGATCGAGGCTTGGGGAGCGGGTCGTCGGACATGGAGAGCCTCCAGCGGAGACCGGTCCGGCGGAGGGCCGACTGCCCGCGCGATTTGGACATGTCCTTGTTGGAGCGCGCGCCGGGGTAGGTGTGTCTTTTCAGGAGGGGGGCGGTCGTGGACATGGGGCGGGTTAGGGATACCAGTTGGTGAGATATCCTGACGGAGGAGGGGGAGGGGGTGAGTTTGAAGGCTGCGCCCAGGGAGGGGCGGACAGCTGAAGCGGCGGCGGTGGCCATGGTGGTGGTGATATACCGTTCGGTTCGAGAGGTTGTTCGCCGGTGGTAGTAAGTAGTAGGTAGTTCGTGTTTGTGTGGTTTCGGGTTCCTCCCTCCTCTAGCTGGAATGAAATGACTGCAGTCCCAACTTTCGTCCCCTGGCCGACGTCGACGCTGTATACTGGCTTGGGTCGAGCGGTCGGTGGTCGTGGCGGTGGTCACAAAGGTCCCCACGAGCAAAGCAAAAGCCGCTGCTGAACTTGGAGCTGGCTTGCTTGAGAAACTACCACTTTCAAAATTTGGGTGGTCCGAGCGCCTTCCCATCCAGCGGTGGAAATATGTCAAACGGGAACTTCCGCTCTCTCGTTGAAATCCATCCCACCCAATAGGTGCATACGGAGTGCTTTGAAACTGGATATTTGCATATTATTTCCACCGCCATCGCCCTGAAGCCATCACCACTTCAGCACGACGCCGACTGCACGATACACCGTCTGTTTAATCCTTGAAAGACAAAAGCAAAAAGATGACCCTCCTCCAGTACGTCCCATCCCCTTCCCCTCCCTCAAACACCACATCCACTAACGTCTCCAAAAGAACCTACCAAGGCCTTTCCCCCAGAGCCAGACTAGGCGTCGGCTTCGGCCTCCTCGCCTGGGGCCTCATCGGTCTCAAGCTCTCAGACAAGGCAGAGGAAAAGCTGGGCTACACCCCCACCGAGCAGGACAAGGCCGAGCTCGACAAGATGATTCCAAAGATTCACTCTGTACCGAGGGAAAAGCCTTCCTCATCAACATCACCAACGCAATGATGTCCGGCAGGTGCTGAAAATACAACAAATAAATAATTTATACACAAATACCCAGCCAGCGCTTGCTCATTTGAAATCTTCGCAGGGAATCCAAGTCGTGGTGTTGGACAGGCCTGCTTTCAGTTGTTTGTTTTCTCAGAGACACCATCACCACTCTACCACACATCGTTCTTGCACAAGAAACTCCCTTATAACAACTCACACCCTTCCGCTCTGTTGACCTCCGCTTCTAAAGTAAAAACGTATGTAAATATGTTCTGACATGATGTACAATGGTTGTCCAGCCAGTTTTCCTTTTCGACTCCCACTCTTCGCCCATTTCAACCTCCCCACAACCATCATCCCCTTTTCAAACCCTTCCCTTGACTTTTCCCACCCTCCCATTCAACTTTTTTATCATTAATTTTTTTTACATCCCTCCCCACTCCAGGGAACTTGTTTACTGACCATGTTCACAGCAGCATCTATTCCCTCATCCTCCGTCATCCATCTACCCATCCTCCACTCCCCACCCGCTTATTGCCCTCCCCCCATCCCCCAGTCTATGTTCGTTCGATCGTTCGTTGCAGGTGAGAATTCTGGGAAGAATAAAAACTTGTCTAATGCAAAGCCACGCCACCCCATAACACACTCCATAAAACAGACGAGGAAAAAAAGAGATAGAAATCTAAGAATTTGATGAACCATCCGCATTGATCAATTGAAGACGCCCACACCGCCAAGCCCACCATCCACGTCTGTAGAAAATGCAAACTGCAAACCGCCGAGTTTGTGACCGATCTGATGCAAACGGAGGGGGAATCGAAACTTTTGGGGGATGTGTCACCCGTGCGTGTATCGGAGGGAGAGGAACACCCAGATCATCATAAGCTCGGAAAACCCACTTTCAGCTCGCAAAACACAAAAGAGAGGAAAAAAGCACAGAGAAACCGCAGGAAAAACCATGAATACAAGACTAAACGAGACCACCCCATTGACTGTGAGAAAGCAAAATGAGCATTAAAACGCCGTTGATGCAGTTTGTTGAGCGGTGCCCAGCACACTGGGTCGCTATCATGCGGATATTCCTCTCTTTTTCTCCGCTACCGAGTTGCATTTCCGGACGAGTGACTACCTCGTCGTATAGGGAAGACGCCTGAATAGTTGAGTCATGTCCAGTGTCGTGTCCACCACCCCGTAGGCCTCATCGATGTCCCCCACTGATCCCATATCCTCCCCCCGCGCAGCCCCGTCTGTAAGAACCCAATTCTTGACCGACTTTAGCATGTGGATGACGCGCGCAAATCGTTGATCGGGGTTCATAACGAGATCGACGTGCCGTGTTGTCCTCAAAAGATGGGTCGCCAGCCAGTAAAAATGGATGCCGTCCCTGCAGAATCCATACCGTCCAAGATATGCCGCGGCCGATGGAGGGAACTGGACCGCCATGTCATGATCCCAGTTTGCCTTGAACTTGTCCAAAGCCGTTATCAACGTCTTCAAAGTCTGCGGATCGACAAGGTTCGCAGCAATATCCGTGGGAGTCGTGCGACCACTACCATGCGGAACAGAGCTTCCTTGCGCATCCACAAACCAGGCGTTGGTCGGCAAAGGGGTGCTAGATCGACTGATGGCATTCCTGCCCTCCAATTGAACCTGTCTCATGATGTCGAGTAGGGCATGAATAAGAATGAATTTTCCGTAGAGATTGGTCGACCCCGGCAAAACTCGATAGCTGTTGTCGAGCAACGCCTTGAGAACCATGCGCATTTCGGGTTGTGTCGTACGTCGAGTGCCATCGGGATTTCGTCTTTCGGCAGCTGCAGGCCCGCAGAGCCCCAGAGCTTCAGCACACTCAACCGCGTTGCTCGCCTCCCACGCTGCGTCATCCGCAGGGAGAGGGAGCCGAAGATCGAATGGGGTGAACTCGGGACCGCAGTTGAAATAGAGCCCCAAAGCCGCGTCGTAGATGAAAATAAGATACATAGTTCTGACACGAGCCTCCTGGCCCACCCAGCGTTGCCAATCAAACTGCGAAACTGGGAAGTTTTGCGAGGCAAAGCTTGACTGGTGGAGAGGACTGAAAGACGATTCTCCTTGCGAAAGGTGTAGCAATCCAGCCTTGCGAGCCAGATTGGCAATTAGAGGCCAAATTCGCCGAGCTTTCTGGCGTTGGGCTGCGGTACCGTGCCAGGTAAACAAAACTAGAACATGTGCGATTGCCTGGAACTCTTCCAGGGCCGAGTTAGATGCCCAGTCATAGGTTTGCGCAAATCCCTCATCCTGAGCCAGTGAAGCCCTGAACAAAAGAGATGAGCTTTCAAACGAGGTCCTGAGCACTTCCATAATCTCCCGAATGTTGTCTGGGGGGGTTCGGTCCGAGTAGCACGCGCCTACGATGCACATGGCAGCCAAAAGGCCGACATAGGCGTCCAGGGCGCGGAACGTGGAAATGTGGACGGTAGCAAAGTGCACGTGATAGTTGGTATACTGTTCCAAGAAATGTCGAATGTTGTCGGGCTGGAAATGATGGTTGACGAGTTGGGCAGTGGGGTTAGTGGGATCAGAGGTGGGGCACAAAAACTCGATGATTCTGCGGGACAGGTGGTGATAGGCGTCAGGATACGAGGGCGGAATTCCCCATGAGGGGAACGTCGACGAGTCGGTGGCTGTGTCGCCCGGAATGATGCCAACCGCTCGCGCAGAGCCAGAGTTAGGATCGGGCTTGGCCGCGGTCGCCTTCTCCTGTTCGCAAGTTAGGTCTTTCCACACATTAATGAAGAGATATGAAATGGGGTGTGGGATGGTTCGCACCTGCCTGTGAGAACATCTGCGCCCACTGGTCGCCGCCCTGGCCGCCGAGGAAGGGCATGCCGGTCCCGTTCTGGGGCATGCTGTAGTTCGCCAGCTGGGGGTTGATGTTGGCCGTCATGTTGTTCGAAACGTCGCCGCCGGTATAAGTCTGGTCAAAGCTGCCAGGACGCGTCGACGCGCCCATGACAGACCCAGTCATGCTTCTCCTATCGCGATTGGCGTCTTCGATTCGGTTAATGCTGCTCGATCTCGACAATTGATTCTGATCGTTGGCCATGTTGGTCATGGCCTCGGGGGCAGAGATCAGGCCAAATGGATGCTGCACCATTCCGTCACCCGGAATGCTGGGCATGCCATTCATGTGGTTCACCTCACCTTCAATGGCCTTCTGCTGAGCAGCAGCATTCTTCTTGACGTGCGCCTGCGGGTGAGACAAATGGCTCGCACCCGTAGGGTTGCCACGTCTAACCGAGCACTTGATGAAGTGACGCTTGAGGATGTCGCTACGCGAGAAGGTGTCGCGGCACAGGACACACATGTAGGGGCGATCGCCGGTGTCTACGAATACACGTTAGGCTACAGGACACGTCACAGAGCTTTCAGTCGAGTCAACTTACGTCTGAGCAAATGACGCTTCAGATGCTTGGCATGAAGATAGGTCTTGGTGCAGTGAGGGCAAGGAAACTTGCCGTCCGCATCCTTCTGGGGGATCGGGTTCTTGGCGGTGGTGCCAGGAGCAGGAGCGGCAGGCCGGCCCGGAGCACTAGGGAGGATGCCTCTGCGGCCCTGGGAACCGACAACGTGAGTCGGCTGGTCGCCACCCTCGGGCAGCATGCCGTTCTGGCCCATCATGGGGCTCTGAACGTAGGGGGAGCTAATGCCAGCCTGCGGCATTCCGCTAGCCGGCATCGGGCGGAGAACAGGTGGAGCCCGGGCGCCGGCCGAAGATGGGGCCGGGGCAATTGGCTGAGGATGCGCGGCAGCGGCCGTGGTGTTCGGCATCATGGTGGAGGTGCTGGCGGGATAGCCCTGAGTGGGATAGCTGTTGTTCATCATGGGGTAGTTTCCAGCGCCGCGTCCAGCACTTTGGTTGGGCGGAGGCGGGTAACTGGTCATGTTGTTGGTGACGGGAGTATTGGGAGCGGAAGGCGTCCGAGAACCGTGGGGATAGTTCCCGTAAGGAGGCTGTTGCATAGCCGGATGGCTGGGTTGGAGCGGCGGCAGGGTCTGCGGAGGGAGGCCCGTGGAGTGGTGCTGCTGCTGGTGCTGCTGCTGGATGGGATGCTGTGACACGGCTGGCTGAGAGGAATACGAAGCCGTCGACGTGTTTATGACATTCGCCGAGCCGTTTGGCAGACCTTCCATAATCCGTCACACAAATACCTTAAAGTGGCGAGCACAGAATAATCATCCGAGGCCTTGGGGGGCGTCGAAGGGCTCTTTTGCGCGCGTTGGGGGAAGAGTAGTCGGTGCTACTCGTGAGGACGGGCGATGCAACAACGCGTCGTGTGCACGGGGGGTGATGATATGCCTCAGTCGGCGCGCGCTCTCGCTTGGGCAGAAGGGTGCAGGCAGCAAGAGCTGTTTGTTCCTTTGTCGGCTGTCGCAGGACTCGGAACCGGGACGACAGGCTTCTGATGGAAGGTCAGATGCAATGCGCCGGACGGTGATCTGGCTGTGCAACAATTGTCGCGATGATGCGTCGTCGTCAAAGGTTGGCGCGTGTCGGTGGTGGTGGTGCTCGTGGGTGGAGAATACCCTACCTTAAGCGGAAAGTTGAGGCTCAAAGGAAAAAGATGTGGTGAGTGGAGAGAAATGGAGAGGTTTGAGTGGAAAGTCGGGTGGAGACTGCCTCTTTTTGTGCTGCTGGATTTGGGTTTTGGGGGGGTGGTGTGTGAGGGGAGCTGTCAGGTACTTGCTGATGGCGGCCGGCGGGCAGTGGGTGGGTTATACAGTTCCTGGCTGGCAGCCGTTGGGTACCTCCTGGGAGCAGCCTGGTGGGGACCGAGCTGGGATTGTGGGAATTGTGGGATTGCAATGGTGGAGGGTCCTCCCAAAATTTCCCAGGTGAAATATGGAGAATCGTCCGGAAATCAAGCCTTTTGAGCGGTGGGGAGCGAGTTTGATGAAACCCAATTGTGCGAGTCGATTAGGTCTTTGGATATTCGACGCTGGCGAGGGAAAGAGAAAGGGCTTTGCTTTGCTGTGCTTTTGCTTTGGTTTGGGCAGTCACGCAGACAGGATGTGGACGAGGGAAAAAAGAAGTGAAAGTGGATAAAAACAAGGGAAGGGAATGGGGACCGGCACTCAGGTAAAAAGAAAAGAGACTTGACTTGCGTCTGGCGGTATCTTTTGGCAGGTGGCAGGGTAAAAATGCCCAGGGGAGCAAAGTGAAGAAAGAACTGAAAAAATAAGAATAAAAAAATACAGTTACAAGAGGCAAGTCACGTCCCCTTGGTCCTGCTCTGTTTTGGCGGCCATGTAAAAAGACCGGAAGCGTGTTTCTACCTACTCGCACACACCTTGGCTTGCCCCTCGTACCCGGACTTGGGCAAAAGCCATTTACTTCATCTCGAGGAATAAAGTTTGCTTACTCCGAGATTCTGTTGAATCAGCAGACTACAAATACTACTCCCATGAAGATGCCCTCACCTCTACACATATGAATTGCCCGCCTGTTACAGAATGTCCCGGTACCGCATCCGAAATGTCTGAATTTTTGCAACAAAGCGACTCGACGGACGAGGGCTGGGCGGTGACCTCATCAATACAGTGCGGCATGCACGGCGTACTTGGGCGGCAGGCGGTAGCGACAGGGACCTGTGGTGGTGGTCAAATGGACGTCCTTGGCAAGTGGTCTGAGGTGGGATAGCAGAGGCAGGGACTGGGCTGGGAGGAACCACGCTCCGAGCAAGGACACTGGTTGGGTGGTGTCCAGTAGGGTGGTTGCCGATACATGTGATGCTTCAAAACGGCAACCAGCGACGCCCAAAGGACCGCCATGGACAGCCAATGTTGATACGAAATGCCATCGAGCTCTAGGCCCGAGACGTGGCGTTGAAGGTCCAGACGCCATCCGCAGTCCAAGATGTGATCAGACTGGTAGGACCTTGGCTGTTTTATCTAGCGGCAAGATTTGCCCATTCCATGCCGTGGTGTTGATAACTTGATGCGTGCTTTTCCAGCATCCACTCATCACAAGTTGGATAATGGCCATGTTTCCAAACGGAAGTCGACGGGAGCGGAGGGCCTTCCAGTCTCGCGGAAACACTAGCCCAGACAGGTATCACAGGAGATGGGCACTATGCCAAAAGCATCGCCGCCTGCTGTCTGTGACGTTTTCGGTTTGTACTGTGTGCTCTTTACGAAAACGACGACGCCGCCACCAATCCCGAAGTTACCGCCCACAACCCGCCAACATGTTTGAATGTATTGGAAATACGCGGATTCGTAATCCTGTACTTTTTGTCCAAAAGGGGTGGTCCACTGGCAATACTCACAGACATTATTTAAAGAAGTGCTGGATCGGTGCTATGACTGGCTACTTCTCTTGTAGTTTTTTTCCCTATCTCGATATGCTGGTGATCTGATATCGATGACACTTGAACCGCATCAACATCAAACCTACACTTCTTCTCGCCTCACCTTTTGTGTCTTCGCTGGCCGACGATCAGATCAGCAACAAGAGCGGTCACGGGGGTTTTTTCTCTCTCGCAGTTTCTGTTACGCGGTCTTCTCGGGATGACTGCCATCGCCTCACCCAAAGAGGCATCTCCGTGTTTGTTAATAATCGGCCGCCAGGGGGCAAATTCTCGATGGTGTTTTTGTCTATCGATTTTTCCAAGTCTGAGCACTTTCTTGGACGACGATGACAACAACGGCCAACAGGATCAGACGCACCACCACCTGGCCTCGGTGACGAGAAAGACGGGCTTCTCCCTCTGCTGTTGTGGTCGTCTGAGAGCCATCAGATCCATGACCCCAGGCCGTGATGGCGTGGATGGCGTGGACAGCGGAACGACCGAATCGTCGCAGAACTTGCGGTGAGGAATTGTGCCGCATTGGTTCCGTCGGGTAGTTCGGTTATCTCAGCGGCTGTCGGATGCTGTGCCTGTTCTTCCTTGGAATTCCCATTCATAACTCGATCACCTTGACAGCCAACAACGGCCTGAAAATATAACGAGATCTGACCTCTCTTGTGGTGGGAGGTGGTGGTTACAGTCCCACGTAATATTACTACACCGTACAACCAAGCCCCCCAACGCCCGTCTGCGGCAGCAAAGCAACAAATCATCAACGGGGTGGTCAGCTCATGGCACTTGCATATATTATGCAATCGTGCAGCGTGCCGTTTGCCCTTCACAAAACAACAGACGGCCACATTCTGTATGAACTGGTAGAATGAGTCCCTTGATGTCCGCTGTGGTCCGGTTGTGGCTCGCTCCTGACTGAATTGGTGTGATGATGTGCAGCCTCCACGAGTCAAGGTGGTGAGCGAAAGCCGCACGCGAAACCGCCCCAGACATGCATCCCTGCCCTGCCACTCTCCATCCATTCCACTTCTGCCTCGGCTTGTCGTTGCGGTGCAGGGGGCAAGCAGAGGAATTTGATGCCGAGAAAGAGGGGGCTCATTGCTTGGCATCTAGGTGTTGCTGACGCCGCACTGTGTCCCGTATGTGTTGACGGAAATCTTCACCTTCTGCGAATACCGTCAAGAAAGTCTGATCCTCTCACTCTCGCTGAAACACCGCATAGCTTCCCTGTGTTTTTGGAATGGAATGCAGACTCGCCCAACGGGGACTCATTGGTTCTCACTCCTCAGGCCTCAGGGTCGTTCGAGCCATGGCGGGGCTCTTGGCCCCTCTTTCTTTGGTGGATGATGGTTTATCCTCTAGCCCACGATGCCTTATTACAACGTCCCTACTGCACAATGCGCTTGAGGCATCGATCAATAGAAACAGCCTGGACAGATCTGGACATTTCCCCATTTTCCTAGCGCGCGCGCGACAGCCGCCAACTCGAGTATTATTCTACGTTGTAACTTGACTACCCAAGAGCCCAAAGACGGGAGGTTGGTAGGTAGGTAGGTAGGTACTTTGGACTTGAGACGCGTCCTGGCATCCCGCGCACGGCGCCGGGTGAAAGTGGCCCCTCCAGGGGGATCGATCAACTAACGACGAGTGGAGATGCTCTTTGGGCGATCCGAGGGGAGCAGACGGCGGGCGAGGTGGGACGGTCTCCGTGAGGCTCTGGGAGGGTCTTCATCGTGAACCCACACCTGCGGGTTCTGTGCGACATCAAAAGGGAAAAATTGGAGATGGCCCCGATGGATTGAGGGGCGTTTCTAGAAGCGCGGGAGCTCCACCAAGATCTCTTCAGCACATATCAAAAGCAATATCATATCGCATCATGGACACAAACCTCAACCTTGAATTCTCTTCCCGACTCGGGACGCTCACAGCCATCACGGCCTCACCCGTCCGTTGCGGTCGATACAATCCCCCGGCCTTGCTCACCCTCACAACGTCACAACGCCCGCCCACCTAGCCAGACGCCAAGCCCTGCACTGGGTGTTGTTCGCCCTTCATATCGGCGTCGGGGGAAAAGCCGACAGCGACAACAACATGCCACGTCGCTCGCCCGGCGAGTCAGGCCTGGATGCGTTCCCCTCACGAGAAAGCAACGGAGACGGCAACGACAACGACAACACCTGCCAGATCCAACCTCGAGTGCCGCTGGCGCTATCCATCGGCTAGAGGTGCTGGCTTAAACAACATGTGGGGTGGTGGTCCGAGTTGCAAGTCATTTAGTCCGTGGCTTGTCGTCTGCCACTGCCAGGCAGGCAGACAGACACCCGACGCAGACAGACTGGAAAGCTAACCTAGGTAAACCGCTAGCCATCTGTCACTGGGGAGCCCAAGGTCGACGGTCGACAGGAAGGGAGCTGCCCTGGGTTCCATGGTTGGGCCGAATTGGACTTTCATATCTCGAAATCGATGGCGGGGTGAAGTTCCCAAGTCCCAAGCCTCCCCGTCTGGCTGCCCACAAAAAAAAGGGCCCCCTCATCTGGTCTCGTTCCCCCAACTTTTGGCTGAATCCAGCGAACGATTGGCGCGAGTATCCATTCCCGGCGTTAAAACCGACCCAACACGTCCCGTCCGTCGTCGAACCCTGGTCAATGTGGCGTTCATGATGCGCGAACTCTGTGGGACCCCAGACACGCCAGAGCAAAACCTAAAAACGAGTTCACCTCATCATAGCACTGTTGAATCCCGTCACCAACCTTCAACAACAAAACAGTCCTTCGGTAGGACTCTCTTGTTGGCCAGGGCTGCTGCTGTGTAATCAGTAGCCAGCGGTCCTAT